TCAAATAACAGGGATAACTTTTTCAATCATATTTAGGGACTATATCCCAATAACCTACCCATGTCCAAAGATGAAGGAGAATGAGTATTTACAGCATCAGTTGGAGCTTGTCCTTTAAAGTTTTTCTGTACTTTACTGAGCAATTCAGTTTGATAAACTAGATCATTTTTCTTTCTATGGCAACTTTAAAAGAATGGAACATCGTATCTGGTGATTGCACATGGTATTAGCTGACTTACAAAGCCGATGATTTAACCATGGCTGCAAATGGAAACATTTCTGGATTTTTTTTAAAAATTGAGCATCCCTTGTTGAATTTCACCTTGAGAAACTATATTCAGCCTATTTTATTCCCTCCATAGTTTTGTTTGGGTGCTTCTAATTATTATGCTTGCTAACCCATGTCCATTTTGAATGGTTTCTGGAAAAGCATTTGAATTAAAATCTTGGCCTTGTTGAAGTCACTGGGAGTTTCGACTTTGACTTAAGTGGGATCAGGATTTAATAGTGATCCATTCAGCAGCAGAAGTAAATTTGTCGTAACTGTCAATGAGATGCACTATTTAGAAAAAAAGTTTCAAGGTTAACTCATTTGAGCAATCATTCTCATATATATAATCCCATATTTTCTCTGTGCTTTGCATAAAGATTCAGATACCTGAAAGAGCACTGTATTCTCTGGTATACGCTCTAACAACTAAGAATGTAAGCTTGAAATGAGATTGGATAATCCTAGCGTTAAGATTAGAGTAACTACACCTAGTTTGCATAATAATTTCAAGGGAGGGGCAGGGTTTGAAGGCGAGGATGTAAAAATCCAAACCTGGAAATCTATATTGAGTACCAGGAATACTGGGGTAAGCCTTGTGCGTATGGGTGGGCATCTGCTCTGACATAAGTGTGTTTAAGTATACTGATAATTGATGCTTCCTAGTTGCAAAATAGTTGCAAAACTTAGTGGTTAGAAAGAGGACTGTTTTTCAAATCAACAGCTCACACATTACTGTAAAATCTATCGATTAAAAACAAAGTATAATGTTAGTCATTTAGTCAGTAGAGTGATGCAATACTGAAATGAATTCATCCTTTGACTTTTGCATTAACCTTTTATTGACTGCTTGCATACTCATAATTAACACACACTTTAGCTAGCTTGGTTAATTTTAGCATCATGGTCAGTGTCCTCTAATGTAGCTGACACCCTGGTCGTGAAAATGTCACTGCAGCCCAAGAGACCATAACCAGGCAACTGTCTATCTCAGTGAACCTACACCTGCCCATGGGGAAATTAGCCACCGTCCAAGGGGAAGAGTCACGAGTTAGTTGAATTGGTCTTAATATTCAACTGTTGGTAAATATTAATGAGCGAAATCTACTTAGCAAATATTGACAAAGTGGGATCAGAAAGCTGCAACTATTACATGGGAGAGGTAGTGAGAATGTACACAGCAATTGTAATCAATTGCTCTTTCAAAATGAGCTTTTCTAATTGAAGCTGGCACAGGTTTTGATTGTTTTAGCGAGGAGCTAAGGGACCATGGAGTTTTCTGCATTCTCCACATATTCAGACGCACAAATCAACCTTTTTTAATGTTTCCCTTTGGTAGACTTGTATTATCAAGGTGTTGGAGCTAAATTGCTCTGAATTGTGTCACGGCAGTTGTTCAGTTCTCCTGCTGCAAATAAAGTATGAAAGATGCCTCTTAGTTTGGTATCCTTCTTGCTGTATCTTGGCGCATGTGTTATTGCCACTCTTCTTAACGCATTATGTACATGCAATATACATGGATTAGATTTACTCTGCTTTGGAGCTTTGACTTCATTAGCAACTCAGATAACAGTTTTCAGTTATAAATATTGGTCTAAATACTCTTCCACTACCACCAAACTTTGTTTGCAGTGTTTCCCATATGGACCCTCATCTACTCCTTTGTATCTAGGAAAAGGTTGGATTTCTGTGTATTTTGAGTGAAGTTAACATAAGTTGGCAGTGATTTCTGAATAAGTCTGTGCAGTTTTCAAGTGCCTTTGATTGTTATTTCTCAGATGAAATTGTTGCTATCCTTGTGCAGGATCTTCGGGTCTGTTACTCTGCTACAAATTAAAGACCAGTGTAAGAACAATTTCTCCTGCAGTTGTGCAGAAATCTATTAAAATCAATAGTAACGTATTAATCGGAAGAAGACTGTTCTTACATACCAATTCTGAGTCAGAAAGTCAGTACATGCATTCAAGCTGGTGGATGCCATTCAGGTGGATGGCTTGAGATAGGATATGACCTGTCACATGCAGCGATGCCTGCTCAGAAGCCAGCCCTATACCTTTAAACATGGGGAACTTGAGTTGACTTTGATGTCAGTGGATCCTGCGCAGAAATTGCAGTTTTGGTCAAAATAGGTTACTTGCAAAGTGTAAAAATGTAGCGTTCACCGCTCTTTTTGCTCTTCTTGCTAGTGATGTAAAGCAAAACAGCAGAAGTACTGCACATAGACACGAAGGAGCTATGGACAGCTGTGCGTTGAGAGCTTGCAATGTTAAGACACTGCTTTCCCCTTTCTGGTTGAGCAGTGCACTGATACATTTCTGCCATCAGACTTGGACAACAAGTCCAAGGACCAGACACACTTCCATGCCCTTAATCCCTCACGGGGAATAGGAGACGGCCAAAGCTTCCCACACGCGTGCTTGCCTGGAAGTTGAGGCACACGCTTAGCTGTGAGGTGACCTTTCAAAGATGACTCTGCTGGTAAGAAAAGAGAGAAGGGAAAGTAGCAACTTGCACTATTGCTCATGGGCTGTCCAGGCACAGCGTCACTAGTCACGATGACGCCTTCACAGTGACACAAATGCCCAAAACCCAAGAGGGGGAAGCTGGTAATTCAGCTGGTAATTTGTGTTTGAGTGAGAGGGAGACAGACTTTAAAGCTAAAAACACGCCCTGAAATGGCAAAGCAGCTATGGTGTCTTTTTCCTCTCAGTGAAAATTCTGTTTATAATAGGAAATATGAGAGAAAGAGAATGTTTCTTATTAGAAATTGAGTTTTGCAGGCCACATAATATGCCTGCAGTACTTACCAGGCTGAGTTTCTTGATTTGTCATCTTTAATAATCTGTACATGGTTAATTTATCCACTTTTAGATTGAAATGCTTAAACTGGAATATCTTATAGTACCCAGCAAATTGAGCGTGTTATTTTGTGCCAAGACAGAAAATAAAGCAACATTTTAAAAGCCTTATAGAGTTATGCCGTAATTAGTTTCAGCTTCCCCTGCATATTAATTTTCTCCTGTTCCTTTATATAATTTGGAAAATGTCTTCAGAACATGATGGCACAATCAGTTAAGTACCTCTCAGAACTCATGCACTAAACTGCATTTGCTCTAACAACTAGTATAAAGGAGCCTGCAAAACAAATCCTCTGTTATTCTGTACGGTGCGGCTTATCAATGCAAACAGTTTAATATTTATGCTAAGAGGATTGTCACAAGTAGCTTCTGTTCCTTTAATTCTTGTTTTAAATAAATAATGAGAACATTTAAACACATTACTCTTCTCAGGGCCCTGAGGTCGGCTAATCTTATTATTTATGAAGTGATGTGCTACATAATAGTACTTAGTGCATGTTAACAGATGCTATTATCAGGGGCTGATGTGGAGAGCTGAAGATATATTGGAATGTTACGTGTTAATACTGTCCTTGTAGTGTAATGTACGATGGATTGAGTGCCCAGGATGCTGGTGCGGCAATTAACCACCCACCAACATGGGTGTAAAGCTGAAGTGTGTTTTCTCCTGGGTGTTACACTGCCATTAATAATTCCCAAGAGAAGAAGGCATCTTTCATTTAGGAACGGTCTCTTCCAGAAGGCCGACAGTGTAGACAAGGAAGTTGCATGTGTCAACGCTTCAGAGTTCATTTACAGAGGAGAAACACCTGTGATATACATTTAAAATAACTTTAAAATTGTTACAAACGTTTCTGGTTTTACAGAAAATAATTTTTAAAAAATGTCTTAATGAGATAAAACAGTTATTTCTACAGTTAGATTATCTTCCTGAGGAACTACATTGACCTGCAGTACATGCAAAAATGATAATAATGCTTAGCCTTTTCCTTTGTCTTATCCCTTTGCTAACATGTACTAATTAATCAGCAACATGCAAATTGTTTGAGGGGAGGGGAAAGGAGGGGGGAGAAACCCTCCTTGAACTGTGACAAATCTTTTGACACAGCATGCTATGTTACAACCTTATCTTAAAAGTTGTGATGGTTGCCACTTAAAAACTTTTCTCTGCAGGCTGCAGTTTAGTTGAATATTATAATTAGACTTCACTAGTATTGATGAATAATCCATTCAATAAAAAACACTGTAATTTAAACATTTTCTCTGGGGACTAACGTACACTAACCTTTTAATTTAATTTTATTGAAGTTTTGCCCACCTATTCATCATTGGAAGTTGTTATTAACCTCCATTTCCATTTATCTTTATAGAATTTTCTCTTTTTATATTGTCTTTTTCAGAGCTAAGCAGGTTGATATACTTGTAAATCTCCAGAATCTACAAAGCTAGTCTGGCTTCTTTAATATTGTTTAATCTATCCCTCCTGACCTTAATGCAGTAAATTCAATTTAATCTTTCTCAATAATCTGGTAATACATTGGAAACCCACAAACATTTAAATCTGATAATGGTTTAATCACATACTTTAAATAACAGCTGAGATAATGAGAAAATAATTCACCATATAAAGATACACTAACTGAGTTTTCTCTGTGATTGGCTTTTTGAGAAATCCCTACAGAAAATACAAAGCTTACAACAGAAACCAAAGCAACTTTGCTGTAAATGAACAATCCATTTGCTCAGAAGATGTGGTTGTTCTTTTTTATTTTCATCTCTCCGTTTAAATTAAGGCACAAACGTATCCTCACCGAGTATTCAGTTTCTTGCTACACCTTTACTTAAGTAGTTCTTCTGCTTTCCTTTCTTTTCAGATGCCAGTCACAAGCAGCAGAGAGTTTGCCAGAAGACCAGAAACCAGAATGCCACCCCTTCTGGACAGATGATGACAGTAATATGCCTCTGCCATATGATCTTGAGGAAGTAATCGCTAATCTACAAAGTCTTGTTCAGTAGGTAGAATAATAGGTGACTTTCCAGCCTAGAATTATTGAATCATTTGGAAAGAAGTCTTTTAGTTAGAGTAATCTGTATGATTCCTCAGTCATGTGTTGTTTTATGTGTCAATGCAAATTTGTGCTTTTACCAGCCTCCATACAGCCTCTCATCTTAGGTACCATCTCAAAATAAAAATGACCCGGAGAGATTTCCAGGGTGAATCTTATCTGCTGGGCTCCTTGGGGCTCAGCGTTCGGTTCCTAAGCCTTACTTGGTTCTACTTGCTGTGAATCCTTTCTGAGGCCAGGTCTCGCAGTGCATTATCTAGGGAGCTGATGGACCTAAGTGAGGGTTTTCATTTTGGGTGTCAGGCCCCCTGGCAAATTAGATTTAAGCTCTGTGATACTCGGTACTGCAGCATCTATGTTGATCTAGCCATGAGTACAAAATCAGAAGACGCTGAGAAATGAAGTTACTTGTGATCCTTTTTGTAATAACATTCTATAAAAAAAAAACAATTCTATGCTGGACTGTACAGGGCACTCCTGAATGAGAGAGAGGGGGATTTTTCATTTTGTTAAGTTGTTATTCTAACTTCAGTTGGTACGTGCCTTTTCCGTTGTGATAAAAAGCTAAAGAAAATTATATTAGAGCGAAACAGCACTCAGTCTGAATTACCACTACAAAAAAACCTTAAGATTCAGTGCTTAATGTTGCCTCTAAGAAATGGAATACACCTCGTGTGTTAATCTGCTGTTTAAAATCACTGTCGAGGCCAGGCTTACCCAGAGTATACCAGTATACTCTATTGGCAAACCATTCTGTGTGCGGAGGAGGCTTGTACTGCCGAAACTGTGTTTTTGACAGTGTAACATATGCCAGACCTCCCTGGAGCTAAAGAAGCTGTGCCAGCAAAAATTCAGTTTTACTGTTATAAAACTGTGTCCACACCTACCAGCATTTGCCAGGACAATTATATCAAGTAGAGATTGTACCTTTAACACCTTTGACATAGCTATGGCAGCAGAAGGATGAAGACCTGGATCAGGTATATTCATTATATTCCTGTACTTTTGCTAAAGCTGTCAGCCACACTTTAGAATGTAAAACTTAATTAACAAGCAAGTTATTATTTAGATTAGGTTTCATTATATCATAACCTTGATATGGTTATGATAACCTCCCCACGATTTAGGTGTTGTCTCTTGTGCCACAATTTTCTTTGTAATTTTGAAAAAACATTGTATTATGGGCATAGCTTTTCTTTTCCTGCTCTAGCTAAGGCTGGCTTTACCAGTGGGCAACTGGCACATATTTGGATTAATGCCACACTAAATACTGTTTACTTTGGAGATCACTTAGAGAAAAGCTAGCTGAAGATGTGGGAATTTGCTTTTGAAAAATGCAGTTCTCACAGAAACAGATATTACTTTGGAAACGAGCAAGATGAATTCAAGTAGGCTAATGATGTAACACTGTTAACATAGGGTTTGAGGGGATTGTTTGTTTATGCTGTTACTTTGTGATTATTTTGTGTTTAATTAGGCACTGCTAGAAACCATGGGGATCACAATATTGAAATGCATCTGACAGCCGTAAAGGGTAGAGAAGGCACATCAATGTTGTATTTTGCAGCTGAAGTAGAAGCCAGCTATTAAAGAGTGATTGGCAATATTTCCAGTGGTAGTGAAAAAACACTGTTTTTTTTCTCTTGTATTAGGAGGCTGGGAACAGCAATAACAGAATGTTTAAAAATACATGCTAGTGTGTGCTGAGGATTTAAGCCAGTGAATTAACTGAACTTCTACCAGCCTTAGTGCAGTCAGATAGTGCTCCTGGAAGCCATGGACGGCAATGGCATAGACTCAGACAAATGAAAACCTTTGGAATGGGTAAGACCTAAGATTCACTGGCAAAATACCAATAATTGAGTGGTTAAAGAGGATTAATGCTCTATACTGCGTTCCAGTCTCACATCATCTATATCAGTGTAATTTGATTGAATTCAGGGGGAAAACAGCAGCGTAAGAAGGTTTCATTTCTCCAAAGCCCACAGGAGTTGATGGCAAAGACATTAGTAAGGTTGATGCAACTGTTTGAAACATGTAATGGTGCCAAAGGTACCCCAAGAGAAGGATATGCTTACAGGTAAATGTCTATAAAAGAAAACTGAGTGGTCAAGTGTAATTATTGCTCTTTTTGAGGTATTTGCCAGAAAGAGACAAATACTTCAAAGTGTTTATTGAAATAATTACAGTTTAGCTCATGTTGCAATAACCCCTTAGCAATCCACTCATATTCCAGCATTAGATACCCACTACCATTTGGGATGAGCTAAAAAACATTCTTAGAACATCCATTAGAGGCTGTGTTATGTATAGCAACTGTTTGCCGAGTTTGGATACTCTGGATGCCTGAGGACCAAGGTCAGGTTCTTTCAGGGACAAGGGAGGAGCACAGATTAACTTCTAACATTGGATTCAGTGGTTCTTTTCAAATGGTGAAGTTCACGACTTTGCTTACATTTACTTTTCATCAGCCATGAAAGAATTAAGGTAAAATAGTTCAGTTGCACGTGTGTGTCAGGCTAAATGGATTACAGAAGATACAGATCTGTTTGCTTGTCTGCACTTGCCTTTAGACAATATTCATCAATTTTACAAAAGCTACTGACTAAACATGGAACCAATACAAATGAAATGCTCAAGGCAGGGGCTTTCTTTAAAAAATCTGATACCGAGTTGGTTTACACTGATAGGAGGAAAATGTTGGCAGAAAATGAAAACCTTTTATTGTTTCTGTAGTTTGGGGGGTGAAAGGTAAAGGCCATTTTTAAGTATTTGATAGAAAACTGCTGTGTTATGCCATGTAAATTAGAAATGTTTTCATAATGCTTTATTCATATCTCTGCATATGAAAACATTTTATCTTGTAGGTTCTTTCTTGTTGTTGAAACGTTAAGTAAATACAAAATATTAATCCCAGTACAGTAGATTTTAAAGGCATCAGTCTTCTGCTTTGAGTTTTACAAAAGGGTCTTATTATCTAAAGTGTAAAAAAGAATGCCATGAGTAATTACCTGCTGGAAAATGTCCAGGGTGGGTAACATGCAGCCTAATAAATATCCAAGTCAGTTATCTTATTATCATGCAGAAATAGTTTTTAGTTTCACTGGTAGTGAAGTGGATTTACTTAGCAAGATGTCCTTTCAAATCACGCCAGACTTCTTAATGCTATGGGACAGATTCAGGGATTCCAGTGCCATCACAGCAGCAAAAAAGGAATTTAAAAATACCAAGATCCATCGCAAAGTGTAGCTGAAAAATTCTGGTGTGTTAACAGTGGGCATTGCTCATGTCTCAGTTACTGCAGTGCCATCCTATTAGCCCAAATTCCAGTGCCTGACACAGGTTTAATGTAACAGAGATGAAACTAGCCCAGCAGCTGATGCCTAAGGTGGGATGAGAGGAGGGGAGGAGACACAAGATGCAAGGGATGCAGTTTCTCAGGGCCACAACTTTATTAACTTAAGTCATATGGGAATCATTGAGCAGTAACTTGTACAGTGCAGGTCGTGCCCTCTGCCTTAATTGTTACCACCTGGTGCAAAGTTAATGTTAGCTCCTTAACCCCCCTTTTCACTCCCGACAGCTGGTCCCCAGCCTTTTGCTGGGAGCTGACCACTGTCTTCTTGTGCCAAAGTTAAGGCATCGGGAAAAGCCGTTGTTTCGCTGTAACAACAGGCATGAGAAAGCCCAGTCCCCATTCCCCGCCTCCTCCCTCCACCTCTGTCCTCCTAAACCTCAAGGGACTGGGTACCTCCCCTCAACATCTGTTTCGCGTTGAGGTTCAAGTTGTTGCAGCTCATCTTTTGAACTATCCCACCAGGCCTGTGAGCTGCCATGGAGAAGGTTCAGACAAACAGGTAAAACGCTCTGTTCGCAGTGAGATTCCTCGTCCCAACCAAGACAACTAGTGTGCTCCCCAGGGCAGGCTGCAGAGCTCAGCCCTGTGCTCGTCGAGTTGTTAGCTGAGTAGTGGGAAAACACTCAGGCAAAAAAGTTGATGTTCAGTATCTCTGAGGCCTCCCAACCTGCCTGATCCTGGCTGTCACCATGCCCCAACTGTGAGAGCAGAGGCAATCCGTAATGGAAACGCTGTTCTTTTCTCTTTCCGGTCCAAACTGAGACTCATCCCCTTTAATGTTGCTGGGCTTGCATCTTAATTTACATTTGTTTTTCCTTTTCACATTAAATTGGGGCACTCATGAAAAATAAGAGAAGATAATTTATGCGCTTGCAAAAACACTGTGCTTACCAAGGCTGCAAAATTGGCTGAATAGCATGTCAAATGGAAGCGAACAAATCACCGATAAACTGATTACATTAAAATGCTGATGCTGGGTGTGAGCACTTCACACACAACATGGAAACTTGCCTACACATGTATGGTTTCTTTCTCATTGCTTTGGGCATAGCATTTATAATTCACATGATAGAAAAGGACATACTATTCTACAGTTTATATCCTCTAATACCCCACTGGTTTTACAGTGCCTGTCCATGATGAATCAGAATTTGGTCACAACCGTTGCTCTCCTCCCCCTCCATATCTTCAAATACTTGCTTTCATGCCAACACATCTTGGTCTGATTAGTCCCCTTGATTAGAGGCTAAAGTAAAAAGTCAGGTGTATAGGATTCCCATTATCCTTTATTTCAGTGGTTCTAAGAACGGGTCACATAGAGTTATTTCAGTGAAAATGTGAACAATCAACTTCTGTTTACCATTAACCTTCAGTTTTCTTTTCTTAAAATCAAATCAGGGTTTAGTAAGCAGTTATTTTCATACGTGTCCCTTGATCAGTGGAACAATCTGTCAGAAGCCATTAAAGCCTCTATTAGGTTGAATTGCATGCAGAGCTAAACCCTCCAATCATTTAAAGGGCTGCGATGATTGTTTTTAATATAGTATACGTTTATTTCTCTCTGTAAGTAGTAACATAACTTTGAAACTAAGCATGTATGACGAGGGTTTTTTGCTATCCAGCATGTCCTGAGAAGCTTGATTTCATGTGGAAGGCAAATGTCTACATGGAAAAAAAATGAATGCAGTGAAATCCTCTGTATATTTTCAGAAGTTTTTCCTCAGATTTTTCCCATTTCATTGCGTTCATCAAGATGTAACGTATAGGGAACGGGAAGAGATTTTCCAAGGTCCTTTCCTCGAAAGTTTCACTGAAAAAATCACCAACTAGTTCTGCTAATATTTGAAAGTAGCTTTTTATCTCCAGATCTTAGGATGCTTTACGCAGAGAAACCGAGGTAGAGGGCAAAAGTGCAGTCGTGTGCTGAATGCTAACTCCGCAGCAGAGCAAACGTTGTGCTCTGTCGCTGCTCTGTCTCAGTTACTTCCAGTTAATCAGCTCAGCTTACAGATTAAAGATGGTCTTGTAGAACCGGGGTTTTTTCTCAAAAAATAGACTGGGATCTGAGCACGAGGCTGGAATCTGTCCTCCTCATATAATGCATAATATATAAAATACCACGTATAATTATATAATATACAATTTATATGTTTTAATATTATGATATTATGCTATTTTATATGCTATTTTATTATATACAATTATTATGTAATTATATAATATACATCTTATGTAATAGAGATCTTTCAAGTTTTCTCAGGTTTGATTAAGCTTTCCAGTGAATGTTTTAGTCACGTCCAAGTCCCCATGCCCTCAATGGGCAAAGGTAAATTTTATTGGAACTCTTAAATTATTCCATGGAGAATATGCAGAAAAGAATATGCACGCTCTTGTAGCTATGTTTTAAATACGTTCACTGGACAGTCCTACAAGGTCATGTAACTGCTGTACTAGGAGACTCTTAGGAAAATACCCTGTGGGTATTTGAGTGCTATTTATCAAGGTGAAGATATATTGCTGGAACGCACTGGAGTGTTTGTTGTGCACCTGTTAGCACTTTTTGTCTGGTACCTATTTTGTAGTCTGGCAGTACTTTACTGTGAGAACTACTTTTCTAGTTATTTTGGTGAACATCCTAATAATTTATTACCCAAACATTATCAAAGCATTCCACAACTCTTTCACTGCTGTTATATCCACTTCTATCCACCAATGGCCTTTCTTTCCCATTTGTGTTATTATTAAAAGTAATTTTATTAACAAGTTGTTTTTTTTGTTAGGCTGACATGACTTCAAAGAAAGAAAACCTAAAAACTATGTATTGGACAGCATGCTCTCAAGTACATTTATTTTCCAACCAATTTATTAGGACGCTTTTGCTACGTGCTTACTTGCTACTGCTACTTGTAAGGACTATTTATATAAAGCACCGTGAGATGCACTGTAATGTTTAAGTTTATGTATTATGTATTTGCTAATTTGCTTACATTTATAAAATAAACCACTTAAAGAGTCTGTTTGTCTATCATTTGTCCTCCAGAAGTTGTTAGCTCTCATCTTCAATACCTTGGTGTTGCAGTGAACAGAAGAAGAAGATGGGGTAAAAGGAGCGTGCTTTTCACACCGTCTAACTTCAGGTGCCTAGATGAAGGAATTAATTCTGTAAGCTCCCTGTATGCTTAATAGTGAGAGGTAAGCTTCTCCAAAGCAGCAAACTCAAAGGTGCTCTGAATCTACTCTTCAGTGGAGTGTCTCTCTGTACCTTAACTGTATTGCAAGCCCAAATTAGTAGCATAATTATCCTTATTTGCTTATGCTGGCAATTTAATGATGGTAAATAATTTTAAACGATCATGGGGAGTTTGTTCGTATTGTTGAAGGTAATGGAATTAAATAGTGATTGTATTGCAGATGTTCTAGTAAGGCAGATTAATTTCTGTTACTTTGGAAAGATTAGTTTCTGTTACTTTGGTAAGATACATACCATAAACGGACATGGCTAACTTTTCCCCCTGTAATAGTGCTTCCCTCAATACAAGTTTATGGCTCTACTACTAGATTTAGGAGATATTCTCCTGGCTATGCAAGCTCACATTTCCCATATTCAGCTCTTATGGCATATGACCACTAGTGACTCAGTGCCTAACAGCACTGCAGAAAGCCGTTTGAGTATATAAACTGTGCATTTTCTATAAGGTTGTTGTAGTAGAGTTTGCAGTTTAAAACGTGTAGTTATGTTAAGCAAGGCAATATCAAAGAAATGTGTCTTGCACATGGAGTAAAAGATGGTGAGATCTGTGAAGTCTGTTGTTTCTAGGGAACTTCATTTCAGTTTTGTCTCCTACTCAGATTAGCTTTTGGTGGAGGGTTCTGCTGCGTCAAAAGAAGGGAGTATTCCTCAGTTGCCTTTGTCTCAGCGCTGCAGATAGCCTAAAGTCCAGACTCAGATCACAGAGCAAGCCAACACTCTAAATTTTATTAGATATTCTGTCGAATGCCGTTGTAGAGTACAGCAGACAGATTGGATGGGCACTGCCCATGTTGCTGAGATGCACTGCAGCGTTTTATGTTACTTGGAGTTGCCTTAATGCCAAAGGCTGTGTGCCCAGCTATTCTGCATTGCTAGATTCCAGCCAAGAGGTGACGAAAGCGCGAATAGCAGAGGCCAAGTCACTGCTTGCCAGGATGGAACGGAGTCTGCTAGCCAAAAAGAGTTGCCGGAGAGCATTATTCACAATTTCTGCAGCGTAGAGTCAGCAAGGCATCCAAGAGCTAAGAAATCTGATTTCTTAGCCTAGAACATTCTTTCCTTGGCTTTAGAAAACGTTTAATTGACTTAACCAAAAAAGTGAGTGCAGAGCAACTGGAGGAAGGCCCATCTGGGAAACCAATATTATTATGAAACATTTCTTACAGTTAATTATAACATATATTATATTTATCTAGCAAAACCAAGACAAGTTTTCCTGGGATCTAGATTTCCTTAAGCTGTTCCTTTTTTATGGCTATCTCAGAGCCAAAGATTCCCTAGAATTTCCTATTTCTTAACTTTTTATAAAAATGTGTAAAACACAGCATTAGCAACCTTTCAAAAAAAGGTGCAACTAACAGGGGGCCTCTTTTGGCCCACACGAGCACAGGGAGACTTCACTGCTCTTCACTCAAGGGTAAACATCTTATGGGGTAAATAAGGCACTCTTTCAAACTCTGCACTCACGAACAGCTTGTCTGAAATGAGGCAGAGACTAATCAGGATGCCTCCTCTGCATGGGTGGCTAAGGAGAGCCAGGTGCTCATGCTGGAACAGGGTTGAAACGAACTGGTCGTTGCTGCACCCGATGTACGTTGGTGCCATGGGAGGAATGTGCCCTGCAAAAAAGTGAAACTGCAAACCTGCATCTCGAATGCAGCTGCTTGCAGAGCCCCTCATTCAGGCCAGCTCCCAATGGCAAAATGCGGTTCCCCATACTGAGTGTCAGGGAGAAAGCAGGAAATTTTCGTTCCAAGTTCTGGAGATACATCATGGCTTCCGTTGAATCAGTGAGAAAAGGAAAGCCTCTCAGCACAAGGAGAAACCCTCTGCACTGCCCTGGATAATCACCTGATTAAGCATTGCGGGTTGCATTTGGAATTTTACTCCAATTAGATCCTTTCTGCAGAAAAGCTGCCATGAAACCCTAAGTCGTCTTCGAGGAGAGGGACTTGTAGTGGTCCTTTCATCACAGACTGTAGGACGCCCAACATACAGTTATCACCCTAGAAATAAGAGTTTTCTGCCAAAGGTGTACGCTCAGCTATAGCTAAGAGATATTCTGCTTTCCCTTCAGTATAAGTCTTACGTTTCTGAACTAAAACGTCGAAAGTTATATTCCTGAAGTTGCAGGTGTGCAATTCATCTGCCAGTCAGTGTCTTTATTTTGCTGTAGAACATTCATAACTAGAAATGTTTTCCATTAAACATTTTTTACTATATAGTTATTTTTATTCCAAGATCATTCAAATTAAAGAACCACCATCACAAAATGAAAGAATTGGGTTGACTTTGTGAACAGGTAAAAGGACATGGAGAAAGTGTGTAAAACTTTGGACCCCTCCTATCACTCTGGATGCTTGCTTTTTCAGGGAGTGAAGAATGTGTTAAGAGTTTGCATTTGGATCATCTATCTTATCAAACATAACATATATGCAAGTTCCAATCTGTTCTAAATTGCATCCTCCATGATTACTTATATTCTGTTCAATTATATTTTGTTTCATTGGGTATGAGTGAACTTTGTTGAGTAATACATCCACCATAAGTACCACTAAAATTTTGGAAGTAATGGCACTTCATAAATTAGGCTTCTGTTATGACCCATTCCTAGTTGCATCTTAGTTATTAGGCTGAAAATAAAGAGCCCTGTTTTATAAGCCTTCATATTTTCTGTTTACAGGGATTTTACTAACCTCTAATAACTTTAATGACCTCTAAAAACAAGAGGAAGTGAAATCCTACTGAGCAAATTCGTAGCTTTTCAATGCATCTTGTGGCTTTATGCATTTCAAATCTTAGGAATGTAAAAGCTGTTTAAGGAAGCTGTTGCTGGGTTCAACTAGCTGCAGAAACTGTTAAGTTATTTTTGTTTCCCTTTTATTGCTTAACCTCTGGGGCCTAACTCCAGGCTACCCGATAAAGCAGTCGTTGAGGAACTTTAAACCTTTTGAGCTTTGACTTGATAGACATAGAACAAAGTTTTGTATTAAGCATACATTTTAAAAACATAATTTCAAATTTGGAAATTGATTGTGGTTTGACCTACTTATTTTGAAGAGCTCACTGATTCTTAGTTTTTTTCCTTTGCTGATATTATTAGCTCTGTTGTTCTTTTACCGGAACTCCCAGCTGGTAGAAGAAGAATCAATATAGTGCAAAGCTTGTTGTGCAGCAGGTCTTTAATTTTACTTCCACTAGTGCACATGCTAGCAGTTCACCTGCCATCCGACTCACCAGCGCTATTAGCTAAGACTAAGTTTGACATTGCCGCTTTTAAAGGTTACAAACTCTCGTATTAGGCAGCTTCCAGTACTCTCAGAGGGCCAGAATCAAACATGCATGAAGCAGGCCTGGAACAGAGCAGTCTTTTAAAAAAATTCCAAGTTGCAAACTAGTTTTTGAGTACATGCCAATATGTGCTAAATATGTATGGTTTTTAGATCGTGCAGAGTTTCTTTCCAGTACTGATTTTAAAACGAAGTGTATGCCCAAAGTAACTCTTTTCAAGCTTTTTTATTTATCTGCAAACCCTTAAATTCACTCATTTCAATCACTTTTTGGGCGTACTGTGCTCTCAGCTGCCTGTCGCAATGTGTGTTTGGCACTTGCCCATACGGTACAGAACCGCATGCAGAGGCATCCCCAAGCATGCACGCCGTCTGGACACCGTAGCCCGAGCTAGCTCCTCTTGGCTCGAGGCTCCTCCGAGGTCTGCAGTTGAAGCGCACGTCTGCCCAGCTAGTGGGGTCAGCGCATCTTCCTCCCGTAATGCGTTGGTTCTCTCTCCGTAAAGCGCCTCTGTGAGAAACTGAGAGAGGCTCCATCCTTAAACGAGACTGGATGCAGCCCAAGAGAATGACAA